TGTACGTTTTCAACTTGCCTGGCTCCAGAAAGCACTTTTCTCCTTAAACTGGGCTTGTGGTTAAATTTGTACCTTAACTTGAGGAGAGCTGTTTCCACAGCGACACTGTACGGAGCTGGGGTTTTGTGTTAACATTTGGTTGCTTTGTATCTCAGCCAAAGGGGAGGGGGCTCCCCCTGATTTCCCATTACCCCTGCGGGTGCCAGGCGCTCCCCAGACCCTTTCCCTCCAGCAGCCACCAGCCTCCACTCTGGGAGAATCTGCCGCTGCCGTCTGTGTGCTTCTGCCCAGGGGCCGCGGGGCAGGCTGCTCACACACGCCTGGTCGCTTCACCCCACGTGGACACCCTCTGTCACCACACGGGGCTCTGCTGGTGGTTGTTTTGGGGCTACCACGGGGCTTAGTCGCCTGTGGGCCGTTTTCATGTTATCTGTTAAACCCAGGACAACAGAACTTAGCGCAGAATCGATTTCCTCAACTCCCATTCATGAGCGGAAGTCCTCGTGCAGGCGTGCGCGTAGCCGGCATGATTCACACAACTCACCCGTGTACTCTTGGAAGGCCGCAGGGCCTGGGGCGCTGCCTGCATCGCCTCCCTTGGCTGGAGGGCGTGGCCTGTGCCACGCGAGCTGCAGGCCCCGGTGGCTGAGGCCCCAGGCAGACCGCGGGGCTCACCGGCCCGTTTCTCTCCAGCAGTCCTATGACGTGCTGCCTCTGCTGCTCATGCTGGAGCTGCTGCTGCAGGCAGGCCTCAACACGGGCACCGTCATCCAGTGTGTGCGCTTCAAGCTGGGTGCGTCCTGGGATGCTGCGCAGACCGGCCGGCAGGAGCGCCCAGCAGGGGAGGTGAGTGGCCTTGGGCGCTGTGACCGCCCTGCGCTGGTGGGGTGGCCCCCCACACAGATCCATTCCTGAGAGGATTATGGACTGAATGCCTTCAGTTTCACTCCTACAGACGTGGACAAGAAGTTGCTCAGGACCCACTCAGGTCACAGAAGTTCCTTCCTTGGCCCCTCTCGGGGGGGGGTGGCGCCCACCCAGCCCTCTACAGGGTGGCATCAGTGACCTCTGGCCAGCCCCTCTGCCAGGCTCAAGGCCACCTGGACAACACTCTGCCCTCCACAGCTGGAAGGCCGGGGAGTCAGTATGCTCCCCATGAGGCGCCCCCTCCCAGAGGTGTTTACAACTGTGGACAAGGGAGGCCCCAGTGCTGCAGGGTCCACGAGGGCCTTTGTGCGAGCGCGCTCCTGCTTCCGCCATCGGCCCTTGCTCAGCAACCCCAGCCTCTCCATCCTGTCCTGTGCCTGCCTTCCTTCCCTGAGATCTGCAGACAGTGTCCTCTCCTTGTTTTTACCGGTGACAGCTGGTCTCCCAGGGGGGCAGCGTTGCCCCCAGGCCCTGTAAGAGACCCACTTGGTTCTGGGTGGGGACAGCAATGTGCTGAGTCTGGTGAATGTGAGCTCCCACCGGGTTCCAGAAGAGCAGGTCCAGAGGCTCAGGGCCCGGCAGCTGGCCTCCCCGTTCCTGTGTGGGGACCTCGGCCGCAAGCCTTCTCCCTCCCTGGCTGACAGGCCCCTTCTGTGTGGAGGCGCCGGTCCCCTGACCCCAGGAAGAGCTTGGAGGCCCTCACCCCGCCCCGTGGTGTCTATCCTTGCCCCGCCGGGGAGTATTTATTGGGCACCTACCGTATGCAGATGCTTCTCTGTCTGCTGCTGGGATGCAGCCCGTGTCCTCGGCGGTCAGGCAGAGGCTCATGGCGGCCCCCCGCCCCGTCCCAGAGCCCACCCCTGTCCAGGCTGCGCTCCTGGGGGGACGTGGGCGGCAGAGGGGCAGGGACGTCCGTGTGCTCCCTCCCAGGAGTCCAGGGCTGTTTTCTATGCTGTCACAGGCTGAGAAAAGCTCTCAAGGTAACAGGTTCCCACCTGCCTGCTGCCACAGGGTGGGGGGGGGAGCAGGAGAAATGACACTCTGCCTGTTTGGCCACAGGTGTCCAGAAGCCCCCTGAAGGAGTTCGACAAGGAGAAAGCGTGGAGGGCCGTCGTGGTGCAGATGGCCCAGTGAGCACGGGGCAGGGAGACCGAGGCAGAAGCAGGGCCCTGCCTGGCTACCACCGTCTAACCAGGCCAGGCTGCAAGGTGGCGTTTTCATAGAGTAGTTTAATTCTGCTTATCAGTCTGTCGGTTCCTGGCTCTCGAGGCACCACCTCGTGAGCAGTGGGGCCTGCAGGTGAGGCCGGGCTCGTGCGGAACCAGACCCTCCCGGGCTGATATGTAGGCCAGCCCCCTTCTGCTCCTCCGGCCCCTGGCCGGCTTTCCGGCCTGTTCCCTTTGAGCAGACAGCATACACGCTGTGCACAGCCCCACACGGGTCTTACAGGGTTTCTCTTCTGAGGTGCGCCTGGACCAGAGCCCAGCCTGCCAGCACTGTTTCTGACAAGAGAGCACAGCTGTGTGTTCCTGTCGTGTCCCCGCAGCCAGGGGGCCCTTTGTCCCCAGGGCTGTGGGCACACGGCAGCCCCACACCCACAGCTGTCCCTCTGTGAAGCCCGCGTGCCCAAATGTCGGCCCTTCCGTACCTGACCCGGTCATTCCAGAAGGACCCCGCCTGCTCCCTGATGCTGGTGCCTGCCATGCAGAGACCGCGTCAGCAGTGGTGGTCTGCACTTGCACCAGGGGCTTTCTACACTAGGCGTGACCCTAGCCACTGCCACAGCTCAGTGTTCTTTGTGGTGGGGCCATGTCCAAGGCTTGGAAAAGTTGGGCTCCATTTCCCGGTCTCATTGGCCTTGGTGATGCGGGTGCGGTGGGTCCCTCCCTCCTGTCATGGGTTCTGCCTCCACTCCCATCACCATGCTCAAGATACCAGACAGATGCCCCAGGAACCCGCACAGGGTCGTCTCCATGCAGGCTCCAGCCCAGCCCATTTCCTAACCTCACTCACCTGAGGTCAGGCCCAGGCCGGGGGTCTCCTCCATCTGTCACTGCCCCCTGCCCAACAGCAGAGACAGGGTGGGTGTGAGAATAACATCTGCTTCAGTTAAAGTCATGGCCCAAAATTAGTCTGCATGCCATCTCCTCGTCCCTGAGTATACCCGATTTCTGGAAGCACAGTTAGCTTTTCCCAACTGATATGGACGCTCGTAAATCCCCCGTGAGGTGGGAGCACCTTCTGAGAATGTGCTGGGGACTGTCTTGGGGCTGTGCTCTCATCCACAAGGCTACCCACCTTTCCTCCCTGTAGAAGGAGCAGGCAGCACTCTGCTCTGCGGAAAGGTGCCGATGTTTGCTCTTTGCTGAGTTGCGGTAGCTCATTGGTGAGGGTTGTTTGGGGCTGGCTGGGTGTAGACCTAGGGGGTGGATTCCAGGATCCTCCCTGGTTTCTCACGTCCAAGCACAAGTGACTGGCTGCCCGTATTCACGAGCACTGACGAGCTGGGTCATTTTGAAACAGGAGGAAAAGCAGGTGAGACACAGGAGAGGGGGACTGTCCTCCGAATGGCAGTGATAGCCTGCGCACGCGCACACGTGCACGCACACGCACGGGCCGGCCGCGGTCCAGGTCCCCCCTTCCTGCGGCCTCCGCGCTGGGAGGCCCGGGGCATCTGCTCAGCAGCCTGGGACGGGAGCCAGAGAAGCAGCACAGGCCGTGCTGGTGGTGTCCTGGGAACAGAAAGTCTGAGTCTTAGAGACGGAATTAGATGCCTAGGGGCTTAGCACTGGCTTGTACTTTATTTCAGAGAGCTTGAGAAACCCAGGCAAGTGGGGTTTTAGACATTTATAATTCTGTCCATTTTCATTTTCGTCTGATGTTGTTTAGTATCTCCTGAGCAATAAACGCTAACATGGAACTGCGGTCTCTTTCATTTTGGGTCTCTCAGGGATCTCTCTGCCCAGGTTCTGAGAGAGAGAGGTACACACAGGAGGGCTGGTGGAGGTGAAGGCCATACTTTATTTTGTGATTTACGTGAGGCCATGTGGAGGTGGCTACTGGTGAGCGCTTGCTAGCGAAGACTGGAAAGGGGCACAAAGACCCCTCCCTGCCCAGGGGAACTGCCCCCCCCCCCCAGCTAATGCAGAGTGAGAGCAGAACCTCACTTTTGGGTTATCTTGGGAAGTTAAGTGCAAAATAAAGATGATTTAAAACCAAATAAAGATAATAGTTTTCCGAAATTTACTGGGAGCAAAGGCATTAATAGGATGGGTGGGTCTTTCCTCTGCATCCCTCCCTCCACGAGGAGGAAGGGAGGAAGGACGCAAAGGGCACAGGGACTTTGGCTGGCGTGGGACCCTGGGTGCCCCTGGAACTCGCGGGGTCGCAGCACAGGCCTCCGTGAATGACCCCGGAGACACCAAGGCCACCTCGGGTTCCTCCGTCGGACGGTAAAGCTGCCCCGCTTGCCCTGATTGCCCACAGCCCACGAGCTCGTGCACAGCTCCCGCCTGGCATCACCACCCCAGGGACTGCGCTCTCCGTCTCTGCTCCCCTAGCCCGGCCGCTGGGGGGCACCAGGAGTGAGGGTCGGAGGGAGGCCTGGGTGGAGTCGGGGGCCGGTTGTGACTCTTGGTTCTTTATGACTTGGGGGCCTCTGACTGCCAGGGTGGGTCTGCTGACCCCCACCAGACCTGCGCCTGGTGACCGTGTGACCCCGGGCGGAGGCGGCGCGCCCACTCCTTCCCGAGGACACCATGGCCCAGCGCCCCGGCCCCCGCGCCTCGGACAGCAGCCCCGGCCCGGGGCCCAGCGCTAACGCCACTGACCGCGGCCCCCGGGGATCCGCGCCCCACGCTCGCCGCCGGCCCCACCGCAACCGCTCCTGGCGCTCCCCGCCGCCCGCGCGCCCGCGCAGCCCCACGCCCCGCGTTGGCCGCCGCGCCGCGGCCCCTAGGCCCCGCGCCCCGCGCACCCCGCGGGCCAGGCTTGCACAATGCACCGCGCAGCCCCGGCCCGTTGCCCCGGACAACCGCTGGACGCCCGGCGGCGCGGCGGGGGGCGGGGGCGCAGTGCGCCCCACGGGGCCGATCCCGGGTGAGCACTGGCCCCCTCGCCTCGGAACCCCGGACCTGTGCCCCTGCGGATGCCAGACAGGACCCGTGCCCCGCCCTGCTTGAGCCCTCGGGAATCCCTGACGCACCCTCCCCCGTCCCGGGACTCCAGACCCCCCTCCCCTCGCCCCAGGATTCTAGACTTCCTGCTCGGAACCCCAGAACCACTCTTCCTCGGAACGTTCACCCCTTCACCTCTCCACGCTGCCCTCGGGAGCCCGGACCTTAGTCCCACCCCCTCCGCCCTCCCGCCCACTCCCGTTGGCGCTCCAGCCTTGCCCAGCCCCGTCCTCAGAAGCCCGGACCTACCCCTACAAACCTGGACTTGCCCCTCTCCCCCCAGACCTGCCCCGAGACCCTACACCTGTCCTCCCCTCAACCTGGCTTCAGAGCCCCGGCACCGACCTGCCTCCCCGCGCTGGGATGCCCTGGGCCGCGAGCCCTCGCCGACGCCCCCTCTCCTTGCAGGGGCGCGAGCAGGCGCGAGGAAGGGTGAGCTGCCGGAGGCCGGAATGGAGCCGGGAGAAAGGAAGAGGCTCTCGTCCGCTTCACTGGAAGGAGACCCGAGAGAAGAGAACAGTCAGTGTCTTCTTCGCCCACCTTCTGGCCACTCGTGGTTCGAGGCGGGAACGGCGTGGGGGCAAGCGGCTCAGACGTGAGGCGCAGGGCCCGGCGTTGACTCAGGACGTTCAGGGGCATGAAGGCCCGCCGGGGCGGTCGGGGGACCCTGGCCGCGGAGCTTGTGCTTGGGCCCCGCTCTTCTCCGGACTCCCCCGCACCCTCCAGCCCCCTGCCCTCCACGTTTCTGCCCAAGCTGGTCGACTTCAGAGCTCAACTTGGGAAAGGGGTGCGAAGTCAGATGCTCGGGGTTAAGGCGCAGTCCGGGAGAAGTCCCGGTGAGCCCTTTCCTAGGTCTGAGTAAACCCGTGCACTTGCCTTTTTGCCAGTGAGGTCATTCTCGTTGGTAAATACCTAAGAGTGAACTCGCTGGGTCCAGGGTAGGCTCCTGTTCAGCTCTATGTTACCGCGCGGGGGTAAGAGCCTCAGCTGCTCCACACCCAGGCCAACAGTGGGCATCGTCCTATTCATTCTGGGCATTGGGTGGGTGTGGGGGCCGCCTCACTGTGGTTTCCGTTTTACTTTCCCTTCTGGGACTCTTTGTGGAGTATCTGTTCCGGTCTTTTGGCCATTATTAAACTGGGTTGTGGGTTCTTCCTTATTGAGTGGTAGGAATTCTTTGCCCCTTCTGGACGGATACCAGTTCTTTGTCAGTTAGATGTATTATAAATACCTCTGGTCCATGGCTGGTGTTTTCAGCCACTTAACCATTCCCTTTGAAAATCAACTTCTCAGGGGCGCCTGGGTGGCTCAGTCGTTAAGCGTCTGCCTTCCGCTCAGGTCATGATCCCAGCGAACTGGGATCGAGCCCCGCATCGGGCTCCCTGCTCCGTGGGAAGCCTGCTTCTCCCTTTCCCACTCCCCCTGCTTGTGTTCCTTCTCTCACTGTGTCTCTCTCTGTCAAGAAAGAAAGAAAGAAAGAAAATCAACTTCTTAGTTGTAAGGAAGTTTAATTGTCAATCTTCTCTTCTATAGTTAGTGCTTTTTGAGTCTTACTAGGAAATCTATATCCACCCCATTGTTCAGAAAACAGTATCCTATGTTTTCCTTTAGAAACTTTATAATGTAACATTTCACATTCACCTCCACAATTCACAGGGATTGACTATTTTGTATGGAGTGAGGGGTCAGTGGGCAAATGTTCACTCTTCCCCCATGTGAATATCTAATTGACCCAGGTGGGCCCTGCAATGTCACCTTTGTGGAAAATCAGGCCTAGGCCTATTTTTTTGTTTTCCATTCTGTTTTATTGATTTCTCTGCCTATCCTGAGTCCATTCTACCCTGTTTTAATTCCAGTAGCTTTATAATAAGTCTTAATATTTTGTAGTATAAGCCTTTGGATTTATCCTTCAAGATTTGTTTAGGTTTTCTTCGACTTTTGCATCAACATATAAATTTTAGAATCAAATTGTTAATTTAACACACACCCACACACACAAGTCTTGCTGGGATTTTAATTTTGGTTACATTGAATCTATATATCAATTTGGGTGAAACCTAACATTTTATCAATATTGAGTCTTTCAACCCAGGAACATTTAGTTCTTTGATTCTTATCAACAGTGTTTTGTAATTTTCAGAGTACAGATATGGAAAACCTCTTTTGTTAGATTTACTCCTAGATATTTGATGTTTTTTAGATATAACATTGTTGAGTTTCATTTTCTAATTATTCCCAGTATATAGAAATATAATTAATTTTATTGTACTGACTTGGCATTTGGTGACTTTGCTAACTAATTCTAATAGCTAGTAGATTCATTTAGATTTCTTATGTACACAATCATCTGCAGATCTTTTCAGCTTTTATACCTTTTATTTCCTTTTCCTGCATTATTGCATTGGCTACTACTTTTAGTATAATGTTGAATAGAAGTGATATAGTGGACATCTTTTTTTGTTCCCAACAAAAAAGGTCAGGGATCATGACCTGAGCAGAAGGCAGATGCTTAATGGACTGAGCCACCCAGGTGCCCCCTTTGTTTAATCTTTCATTTACTGAGAGAAGTAGGTTAAATATCTCAATATGATTGTGGATTTTCTTTTTTTGTTTTTAGCTTTGTCAACTTGTATCTTTATATATAATTAAGTTCATACACATTTGGAATTTTTATATCTCCCTGACAAATTGATCCTTTTAATATTATGGGCTATCTCTCTTTTGTCTTTAATAATTATTTTATTAAAGTTCTGTTAATATTTATAAGTAAATATTAGTATATATCTAAATATTTACTAAATATCTCTAAAAGTGACATTTTCTAAATAACTAAACTATTTTTTCACATTTGATAAGATGGACAATAATTCCTCACTAAAATCCAATACCCAGAATATATTCATATTTCCCCATTAATCCCGGGGTCGGTTTGTTCAGATCGTGATCTGGTCAAGGACCACACATTGCATCAGGCTGTCCTTTCTCTTTGCTATTGTTTGATCTGGAGTGGCCACCCCTCTTGCCTTGTGTTTTCAGGATCTAGACTTGATGAGGACAACCTCTTGTTCGGGAGAAAGTCCTACCTTTGGGACTCATCTAGCTGTTGGCCTTGGGGTGGTTTACTCTCCTCCTCTGCCCCTCCTCTGTGATCTGGAGATGAGCTCTGGAGACCTGATGAGATTTGGGTTGAGTGTTTTGCCAAGACTCTTTGGAGGTGGTGCTGTGCCCCTAATTTGCCCACAGAGTCTGACCGTGCTGTCGCCGGTGCTGCAGCCCGTCGCGGGACCAGTGCTGGCCGGACCCCTCCAGGGTAGGGTTGTGTTTCCGTGGCCACCCGAGGAGTGGAGCTGTGGCACCTGGTGACTACCCAAGGCCCCTGAGTGGGGGTGGGGGACTCCGCAGAGAATCCCTCTGAGATGGAACTGGAGGTTGGGCAGGAGGTGGTGCTGGAGGTTGACGGGAAAGTACTTCTGGATCAGTGAGGAACAGGCCTGGGCAAGAGGATATCGTTGTAGGCTGCAGCGACCCCAGCCCCCGCTCTGGACACACCACGCTGCACCCACTCACCCGCCCCTCACCCTCCCAGGGGGCCAGTTGCCCTGGGAGGCCCCTGTTTGAATGGCTGGTTCTCCACAAAGAACAGACGAGGAGCTGCGCTCCTTAAGGAGTGTTGTCCTCCCCGGTGGGCCTCCTCAGTCTCTGCAAAGTTCCGATCCTTCCAGAAGGTGTGCCCGGGTGCTTATTTCTGCCCTGCAGTTACGGGCTTCCAGGGAAGGTGTTGGCACACAGGCATCTCTGATGGCCTCGGGTGAGGGTTGTGTTTGCCCTGCTCTCTCTCACTCTCAAGAGTCTTCTTGGACGGCTGTGCTGGGTCTGGCCAGTGACCATCATATTTTGTGACGCACCAGTGGTCTACACTCAGCCCTCCCACCTCTGCACGCTGCTTCTGCATCTTTTTGCTGTCCCCCATCCCAGTCTGTAAGAGCCTCAAGATGCCCTGAGGGCTCCCAGCTCCCCAGAGAGCTCAGATCCCTCCAGCCAGGGCAGCCCATGCTTAGAAACCAAAGGCCGGGTGCCACGGAGGGTCGTTGCCAGGCTGGGGTTCGATTTGTGTTCTGCATCTGGACGTGCAGTTGTCAGAGCACCATCCCCACTGAAAGGCTCTGCTGCTTCTGTCTGTATTGATTGGCTGTGCAGTTGTGGGTCTCTGGGGCCCACAGGGGGAGGAAGAGCAGTGGGTGCTGGAGGGGTGCCTGCTGCTGGCCTGTCCCGCCTGCGATGTTCCTTGGACATCCAGGCACCGGGGGTCCTGGAGGTGTCAGGAGGTCTGGTGGTGTGGGTGGAAGGTGTACATTCCAGGGGTCTGGGCATGGTGGAATTGAAAATTCCAGCGAGTGGGTGTGGACAGGAAGCATGGAGTCTGAGATCCAGGCCTGCGCACTTCCAAGGTTAGGGCATAGGGGGAGAAAAAGGGCTGCAGTGAGGAGGAAAACGGGGGGCCAAGGGGAGCAGGGCTGGCCAGCCAAGTGTCCGGTGCTCCCAGGAGCCAGGGCCCGAGGGAGTGACAAGGGATCGGCTTGTGTGTGTATGACTTTAGCATGGGTGGTGTCCACGGTGGAGTCCAGCAGACGGGGATGTGGAGAGGTGTGGAGTACAGGGAGGAGGGTTTCCATTTTAATCTTTAAGGTGTGTGCTGCGGGGAGTCTGGTGGCCATAGTTAGGGGAGGAGCGGGGAGGGCTGGCCCTGACAGAGACGGGGGGGCTGGTCATGGCGTGGCGTGGCCACAAAGTGGGTGGGGAGCACAGCGAGGAGAGAGCGTGCGCAAGCCAGAGCTGCAGGGCAGGTGGGCGGGGGGCAGAGAGAGGGCATGGCCAGGGGATGGAGGGTTGGGGGGCCGCAGCCTGGGGAGGGGCTTAGGGTTTGCAGGAGGAGGGTCTGGGGGCCAGCGGTGGGCTGGGTGGAAAGGTGATGGGTGTGCGGGTGGGCTGGGCTTCCTTTCCAAGCATCCCCCGCGCACTTTTACCTTAGCCTGGATGTCTGTTTCTCTTCTGCAGAATTAAAACGAGGAATTTCCCAAGACTTGACTTCTTCCCCCAAATTAGACAGATACAAAATAGCAAGACAATTAACAGAAAAGGCCATCAAGGTAAATGTCTTTTGGGGCTGGGGGTGCACTTTTTTAAAGTTTTATTTATTTCCATAATCTCTTCACCCCACGTGGGGCTCGACTCATGACTCTGAGATCAAGAGTCCTGCGCTATTCAGACCGAGCCAGCCAGGCGCCCCAAGGTTGGGGGGGCACTTTTTAAATGTGGAAACTTATTTTGGAATTTGGAAAGCAAGTGGGTTGCTTTGATGTGCTGAGCTCCCAGCTGCCCACAGTCCGCCAGCCTGGGTTGGCCCTGGACCCCAGCGCTGGGCCCCAGGGGGAGGGGAGCGGGGGTACGTCCTGTTCTTTACGGGGCAGCAGGGTCTGTCTGCTGTCCTGAGAGCACCGGGAGCCTTCGCTGGGGAAAGGTGGTATTCTCCGGCTTTGCCTACGTTGGCGGCCCTTGCTCAGAAGGCTGGGCATGAAGGGCTCGGGAAGTCCAGTGCATCAACCACGGGGATGTGCTTCTGAGGTTCTTCGTGCACCTGCAGAGCATGGGTCGTGAACCCCGGTCGCCACGGGACGGGCTGGGTGCACCAGGTGCGCGGTCGCCAGCAGTCCTGCCCTGGGGGGCGGGCCCCTGTCGCCCGCCTGATCCTGGTGGCTGTGTGCGCTCTCTGGGATTTCATACCAACGAACCATACCAGCTCGTTAATTCTCGGATTTTCTACTGAAGCCTAAAAACAGGTGAACATTTAGGGCTATAAACATCCCTCTAAGCATTTGTTAGCTGCTTTCACAAGCTTTTATTTTTACAGTACTTTAGCTGAGATGTAGTTCAAAGTACTTTATAATTCATATTATTACTTCTCATTCATTGTGGGTTACTTAAAAGTAGAGTTCATGTCTACACTTCTGGGGTTTTTTTTCCTATTTTTTTCATGTATACAAGATTTTCTCATTTTATTTTATTATTTTTTTACTTTTTATTTAAATTCAATTTAATTAACATATACTGTATCATTAGTTTCAGGGGTAGAATTTAATGATTCATCAGCTGCATACAACACCCAGTACTCATTACATCACGTGCCCTCCTTAGTGCCCATCACCCAGTTACCCCGTCCCCTCTCTCTCCTCCAGCAACCCTCAGTTTGTTTCCTATGGTTGACTCTCTTACGGTTTTTCTCCCTCTCTGATTCTGTCTTATTTTTCCCTCCCTTCCTTTATGCTCCTCTGTTTTGTTTCTTAAATTCCACAGATGCATGAAATCAGATGATAATTGTCTTTCTCTGATTGACTTATTTCACTTAGCATAATACCCTTTAGCTCCATCCATGTCTTTGCAAATGGCAAGTTTTCGTTTTTTTGATGGCTGCATAATATTCCATTGTGTATATATACCACATCTTCTTTATCCATTCATCTGTCAACGGACATCTGGGCTTTTTCCATAGTTTGGCTATTGTGGCCATTGCTGCTATAAACATTGGGGTTCAGGTGCCCCTTCGGATCACTCTGTTTGTATCCTTTGGATAAATAATTGTTTTTTTTTCTATTTATTCTGTTACTGATTTCTAGCTTGGTTGCATGTGGTTGAATCTGTAATCTGCATAATGTTATTCCACTGAAGTGTGTTCAGACTTGCTTTACGCCCAGCGTTTTGTGCATTTATGTGAAAGTTGACGTGGGGTACCCCACTCATAGACCTCAGGGCAGAGCTGGTTATTGTGTTGTTCAAGTCTTCGAGGCTGATGGAAATCTCTGGTCTGTGGGTTCTGTCACTGACTGAGAGAAGCATGTTAAATACCCTTTTATCAGTGTGGATTCCTTCACTTTGTGGTTGTCAAATTCTGCTTTATTATTTATAGCCCTCTTACTAGGAGCATACAAAAGCATCTTCCTGGTGAATTGAATCTTTTTGTAAATTATGGCATGATTTTCTTTAGGGGTTTATTTTGTCGCAAAGGCTGTTTTGTCTCATACTTAGATTCTCTATGTTCTACCTATCTCTACGCTTATGCTTTTGATTTCCTCTCGTAAACATCATAGACTGAGGTTTTAGAAATCCAGCCTGGCACTCTTCACCTTTTACCTGGAGCCTTTGGTGGGTTTACCTATGACTGCACCCCTGGGGTCCTCGGACATCCCCGTGTGTCCCTGCCTCCTTCCCTCGTTCAGTCTGCCCCGTCTGCTCACTTTGTGGCTCTGTGTGGACTGATTACATTTTAAATTCCATTTCCCCTGTCTTGTATGTTGTAAATCTTATACTCTGTTTTTCTTCCTTTTGTAGTTCCCTGAGGAATTTTAGCCTGTTGATTAAAATAATCAGCTTTTCTGAAGTTGTTCAGTTTGACTGTAAGCAAGGTGGGCGTTCTTGCTGGGGCAGGTCCCCTGCCTGTCTCTGCATGGCAGCAGCCCCTCGGTGGCCAAGGTCATCCCATCCCTCTGCCCTGGTGCACAGCCCGTGGGGGAAGAGGGCAGGCTTTGGACAGATTTTCTGTGTAGAAGGAGGCTCAGAGAGGTCCTCTGACCTGCTGGGCCCTTCCTGTGGGTGCTAGAACTGGAACTCCCAGCTTCTGGCCCGACGCAAGCTTTCTTGTATGTGTTCCTGGGTGCGGAGTGCAAGTCCTCCTTGTGGGAACTATAGGGTATGTCTGCTACCGATGTCGTGTAACAAATCACCATGAGCTTAGCTACTTAAACACTTAAACATTTATTATCTCACAGCTTCTGCGGGGGCCTCTGCTCAGGATCTCTCGAGGCTGAAATGAGGCATCAGCTGGGCTGGGGTCTCATCCAGAGGCTCAGCTGGGCAAAGATCCGCTTCCAGGCTCCCTTGGCTGGTTGGCAGGATTCACTCCCTTGTGGCTGTAGAGCTGGTTTCTTCAGAGCCAGCAACGGGGAGAGGGTCTCTGCTGCTTTGACTCTCCAACTTCAGGGATGCCCTGGACCCTCTTTTTAAGAGGTGCACCTGACTAGGCCAGGCCCACCCAGTATAGTCTGTCTTTTGATTCATTCAAAGTCGTCTAATTAGGGACACCGTGAGTTTGAGCCATTCCCCTCCTGCCCCGCCCCCGCCTGCTCCCACAAGCTCGGGAGGCACTGAGCTAACTGCTGACCCTGCCGTGTGGCCGTCGTCCTCTGTACCCTGCCCAGGCTGTGCCTCAGCAGCGTGGGCCCCGGAGGCTCCGGCATGCCCGTCACCGTCCCGTCTCCCATCCCTGAGCTGGGAAGGCCTCGGTACACGCCACCCACCGCCCGCTCCCTGCCTGGTGCCCAGTCCCGCCAGAGCCCCCAGCTTCCTTGGTGCTGGCCTCATGCTTTTGGCACTCCGGTCCCGCTGTGGCCCTTCTTGGGCGGTTGAGCAGCTCTTCCCTCTCGCTCCTCCTCGAGTCTCAGGCGCCCATCCCCTCGCCCCCAGCACGAGAGACTGTCACCTTCGTAGAGAAAAGAAAGCCTTAGAGTGCGTGGCCTCCGGCCTCAGCCCCACCTTCCAGACCAGGACCTGCCCTGAGCGGGGCACGCGCCCGTGGTCCTGGTTGTGCGGGGTCTCCTAGCCTTCGTGGGAGCGACAGCCACGTGTGCAAGGCCCGCAAAGAATGAGCACGTGCCACAGAGGAGGGCCCTGCTCCGTGCCCGTGTGTGTTCTTGGATGTTTCCGCGTGTTTTCCTTGGAGCGGGACCTGAGTGTCATCCCACTCACTGGCACAGTCTGTCTCATTCTGCCTTGAAGCCTCCCTTCACAGACAATTAACTGCCTTGTCTTTCATTCTCTAATTTAAAATATGCTCTTGCAATTTGAGGAAAAGAAGATTTTCTCCATCTACGGACACTACCCAGTGATACGGGCCACCCTTCGAAGAAAGGGCTGGGTGGAGAAGAAGTTCCACTTTCTGCCCAAGGTCATCCCAAATGCAGACGATGACGGTGCGGGGGTGCCTGGTAGAGTATCGAAGGTGTCTTGTCTCGGTGTAAGGCTTGTGTGTGCGTCTGAGTGAGTCACACCTCTCCAGGGAGTGCTTTTCTGGCCTGAAGAGCCTGTGACTTGGGCCTCCCCTGCATGTCTGGGGGTCTCCCTGGGCAGGCAGAGGCCATTGCCCTCCCGGCCTGCCTTCCCCAAGTATCTCCACGCCAGGCCTGTGCTTTCAAACCTGGTCTGGTTGCTTCTCGGTGTCCCCCGTCCGTGCCCACAACAGTTCTCCTCCTCCCATGTCTGGGCAGTTGCCACCATCCTTCAGTGGCCCTGCCCTGTCTGTCTCTCCTCTAGCCCTGGGTCCCCACTGGTCACTCCTCGGTCACTCTGCCCAAGGCCCTGCCTCCCACTCTGCAGAGAACATCTGCACCTTCTTGGCCCTCGGTCTGCAGGGGGCCAGCTCCCACACGGTGGTTGAGGCCCATGCCGACCCCATCGCTGTCCTGCTTCCCGCACCCCTCTCCACCACACTTATCCCAAGGCTGTCTGTCCCGCCCCACACCTGGGGTCCTGGACCCTGGGACTGCACCTGGCAGAGGGGCCATGCAGCGAACACTGGGGCAGGGAGACGGAAGGCCCCTGGAGATGAGTTGCTGGGGTGTCAGCAAGTGCGCCGTGGCCGTGGCCGCTGCCGGCTGTGGGGTGTGGGGGCTGTGCTGAGGTGCTTGGGCCGGACAGGCTGATGGCTCTCTGGGGGTTGTGTTTGCAGAACATAAATGTGCTGAAGGCAAAGAAAACCAAGAAGAGGCTTTGGAGAAGACAGATGACATCCATGATGTGATGGTAGGTCCCCATACCTGAGCTCCCTTGGGCCAGGTGGGCCTCGATGTCCCCATGCCTCCTCACACTGTCACCTTCCCTGGGCCGTGTCCTGGGGACGGGTGGCAAAGCCAGTCACACCAGGCTGCTGGACGCATGTGCATGCTTGCACTCATTTGTATGTGTGTGCGTGCTTGTGTGTCCATGTGCACCCGTGTGCATACGTGTACTCATGTACACCTCTGTGTGTGCACTCGTGTGTCCATAGGCACCTGTGTACAAGTATGCGTGCGTGTGCTCGTGTGCATCTGTGTGTGCTCATGTGTCCATGTGCACTTGTGTGTGTCTGCGTGTGCATCTGTGTGCGCTCGTGTGCACTCATGTTTGTCCATGTGTGCCCGTGTGCATCTGTGTGTGTTCATGTGTCCATGTGCATCTGTGTGCACGCGTGTGCGTTCATGTGCACTCATGTGTGCCCGTGTGCGTGCATGCACTCATGTGCATCTGTGTGGGCGCTCATGTGTCCATGTGCACTCGTGTGTGTCTGCGTGTGCATCTGTGTGCGCTCATGTGCGTTCATGTGCACTCATGTGTGTCCATGTATGCCTGTGTGCGTGCATGCACTCATGTGCATCTGTGTGTGCGCTCATGTGTCCATGTGCATCTGTGTGTGTGTGCTTGTGTGCGTCCATGTGCACCTGTGTAGGTGTGTGCACTTGCGTGCTGCCCTTCATACTTTTGTCTTATGGTTCATGCCTCACTTGAACAAATGGGAGAAAGTGACAACAGAAGCTGTGGATGTTGCTCTGGAGTAGGAAGGAAGGCTGAGTCCGGCATTTGGGATAAGTTTTAGGAAGTGATGCTGGCAGCCAGCTCCCCGCTCCCTCCGGGCACTCTTGTTGGCATCAGGATGGGAGGATCCCAGTCCTGCCCTAACATGGGGTCAAGGTAGACTAGCCTGTGTTGCAGAATAGTAGGTGTGTCCTCAAATGCTGGTCTACAGAGAATGACCCCGCAGGGTCTTCAAGGTGTCAGAATTTTGGAAAATGTTTTCCTTTCCTTGTATCTCTTTGGTAAGAATTTTTGACCACACAGGTGCTCTTGTTTGTAAAATCAGAGCCGCCAAGTCCACCCTTGGTCCCTGCACTCTGGTGGCCCTGGCCGCCAGCTCTGAAGGAGTGGGGGCAGGGAGGAGGCTGGCTCCCACAGTCTCCAGGCCACGAGGCAGTGCACTCACCCCATGCCCCTGTGTGGCATGTCCCTGAACCCCACAAGGACACCCACGGGGTGGGCAGCCCTGGCCTCACTCAGCCGCACACAGGGGGGCTGCTGTTGGTGCGGAGCCCGCCCTTGCTTCCTGAGAGCAGAAGCCCCGCATGCGGGCGGTTTCCCCCAGTGCAGCACACAGTGGCTCCCCAAGGAACACCACTGCCAGCCTCCCAGACCAGAGAGTCACAGATCACACACTTCCAGTGTTGTTTAATACCTTATTTCCACAGTATGGAGGGTCCTCAGAAAGTTAGAAATAGAGCTACCCTACAACCCAGCAGCTGCACTCCTGGGTATTTGCCCAAAGGATACAAACATAGGGATCCGAAGGGGCACCTGCCCCCCAATGTTCACAGCAGCAATGAGCCCAACACCCAACCGTGGAAGGAGCCCCGATGTCCATCGACAGATGAATGGACAAAGAAGATGTGGTCCATATACACAGTGGAATATCACTCAACCACCAGAAAGGATGAATACCCAGCATTTACATCGATGCAGATGGAACTGGAGGAGATTATGCTGAGTGAGAAAGCCAATAGTATATGATCTCAGTGATATGAGGAATTTAAGGAGCAAAACAGATGATCATAGGGGAAGGAAAAAAAGAGAGGGAGACAAACCATAAGAGACTCTTTTTTTTTTTTTAAGTGGATCTTTTTTTTTTAAGATTTTATTTATTTGACAGAGAAAGACACAGCGAGAGAGAGAACACGAGCAGGGGCAGTGGGAGAGGGAGAAGCAGGCTTCCCGCCGAGCAGGGAGCCCGATGTGGGGCTCGATCCCAGGACCCTGGGACCAGACCCGAGCTGAAGGCAGACGCTTAACGACTGAGCCACCCAGGCGCCCCAAACCATAAGAGACTCTTAATGAAAGAGAACAAGCAGGGCTGATGGAGGGAGCAGTGGGGGAGGGGCTGGACGGGGGATGGGCATTAAGGAGGGCTCTCATGAGGGGCACCGGCTGTCTCACGGAAGTGAGGAATCACTGAATTCTACACCTCAAACTGATTTTTACCATATATGCTAACTAACTAGAATGAAAAAGTCTGATTTCCTTCACTCTTACTTGCATCCCAACATCCAAAGATAGGAAGCTTGGATATAGGGTACTGATGAGGGTTTTTTTTCTTGCCAGTCCAGGTTGGTAAAAAATGAAATGCCGTACTTCCTCTGGACTATCAAAAGGGACGTCATTGACTACCACAGCCTGAGCTGTGACCAGATGCTGAATCACTACGGGAAGACGGCTTCCTTCACCACCAAGGTGAGAGGGAGGGCTTGGGGGGAAGTGGGCGGGAGCAGGTGCAGGGCAATGCCTCGCCTCCTGCAAGTCCAATGGCTGAGTGTGGGAAGGCCTCGAATGCAATGGTCACCTCGGGGCTCCTCCCCAGGATGACTGCTGCCCGGGCAGAGGCCACACTGCCCGTTACCAGTGTCCAGAGGCCCTCAGCACCTGCTCCACTCGCATCCCCAGAGCCCCATGTGCCCTTAGCCCTGAGTCCCACCTCTGGGTGCGCAGGCCAAACCTCAGGCAGGGCAGGTGGGGGCTGCCACCGCAGCCCCGCATAAGCTCTGCACCCTGGAGGGGCCCTGGGTCCCAGGGAGAGCCAGGCCGCCTCCCCCCTGCACAGGGCCTTCTGGCTGCAGGCGGCGTGGGCACCTCCTGTACTCACCGCCCTTTGGTCCCACGGCCCCCTCCCGCGACTCTGAGGGCTGAGGTTCAGGGGTGGGGTCAGCCCAGGGTGGACAGGCCTGCCTGTACCCAGGCAGGAGAGCTTGGGGAGAGGGGCTTCTGGGCAACAAGGAGACCATTCCCCCAACAGGCAAGGACGACACGGGGGTCGGGGTGAGGCTCGCACCACCCCCAGGGCTCCCTGTGGAGGGTCTGGCCCCATGCGTCCTCACCCGGCCTCAGCTGCTGGCCTCCTTCAGGGTGCGGGCAATAGCTGCAGGTGGCCCAGTCGGGTTGGGCTCCCCACAGAGGCCCCCATGTAGCATGGCCACCAGTGTGCCCAGCAGGCAGCAGGCACTGCCTCTCACGGGGGGCACTGGGCACTTTTTCCCAAATGGGGCCCGTGGTGAGTGTGCCCAGAAGCTTGCTGGGCCCAGCACCAGTTGGGGAACCTGGGAGATAAAGGTGGGACCTACCACCCTGTGCCCTCAGATGGCCCTGGCCTGCACAGGGGTCACCCTGTTATTTGAACCAGCTGGCTGGGGGCAGGAGGGGCACGGAGGCCGGGGGGGGGTCTACTCTGGGGGGGAGTCTGCTCCAAGAGCTCCTTGGAGCAGGTGCCGCCAGCCAGACCTGTAGGTGTTCAGGCTGGTCTGAGGGGACCAGCAGGTGGCCTGTGGGGGCCTAACGTGCCGCTGTCTCTGGAGATCGGGCTGTGTGTGAACATGAGGAGCCTGCCATGGTACGTCCAAGCCAACCCTGACTCCTTCTTCCCCCGCTGTTACGGCCTCTGCACTGAGAGTGAGAAGCAGGAATTCCTGGGTAAGTCAATGGCCAGAGGCGGAGACCACCTGGTGTCAGGGCCCCTCTGTGGCCTACCTCCCACTGAAGGGCTGCAGGAACCTTTGGAAGGGAGGTGGGCTGGGCCACAGCTGCAGGGCTGGGGACTGGTGGGAGGTAATGACAGACAGCCTGCTCCTGTCCCAAGGCCCAGGGGCTCGGCTCCATTTTGAGGGGTGAGGGCTGGTCCAGACACTTCCATGGGCAGCATGGCATGGGAGGCTGCGTGGAGGCTGATGGAGGCTGATGGAGGCTGTGGAGCCGCGTGTCAGGAGCTTGGTTCTGATTGGGTTTCTGGGGGAGGTCTGCGTGGGGTTGGTCCTGGGACCCAGGTCTGAGCACCTGTGGGCCACGGACTCTGGCCTGAGGACAGAGGGAGGATTCCTGGTTTGACCTGCCAAGAGAGAGAGAGACAGAAAGTGAAGGTCAGAGCAGGTGGGCAGTGTTCATTTGGGGGTGACCGTGTTTTCTGAGCGCCTGATCTGGGGGCCGTGGAGATGTGGCATCTACCAGCACCTGTGCCGTATGTCTTGACCCCACTCTGGGGCTCCCAGAAGCAAACAGGCGCAGGCAGAACAAGGCAGGGTCCACGGGGGCTGGAGGTGAGAAGTGCAGTGGAGGGGAGGGTGGTGGGCAGGGGCATCTCAGAGAAGGGGTACTGGTGAGGCCCGGAGGGAGGGAGGTCTGAAGGGACCAGGCTGGAGGAGGCCATGTGCCTGCGTGCCCACAGGGCACAGGGGCTAGGAGTTGGTGGGCAAGCTCAGGGGCGTTTGTTCTGCTGGAAGGAGACTCCGGTGAGAAGCTCTGGGCCCTGGAGGAGCTGGGGAAGGGAGCGCAGATTCTGGGTATTTCCAAGGAGGCAGCAACTGCTTGGCCGGCAGGTGGGGCCTTCTCTGCTGAGATGAGCAAGGAGCAGGCTTTGGTTTGGTTTCGGTGAGAAGGTACCAGAATTTCCTGCAGACCTCCCAGAGGGCATGCATGGGAGTGGAATTGGCTAAGGCAGGCCTCAGAGCGTGGGCTCGCTCATGGGGATGCAGGCCGCCTCTCCTGGCCCAAGAGCACTCGGAGCCAGGCCAGCCCCAAGCCTGGGTCTGTGGGACCCAGAGCTGCCTTCCGTGCCAGGTGGGTGTGGCAGGGCCCCTCTGGCCATCCACACCGGGAGCCGTGGAAGCCAGCATGTCCAAGGAGGTCCAGAGAGCCTCCTGGGATGGGGAGGGTCCTCGTGTGTCTGCAAGGGGCTTCCGTCCTCTGGTGCAGGGCTGAGGGCACAGGGAGCCTGGACAAGGACAAGCACGTGGCCTCCATGGACTTGGCCCTGGGTGGGGGGCGGAGAGCAGGAGGGAGGCAGGGAGGGATGTGCAGGTGGAGGTATATTAGACTCCCATCTGCAGAGGAGCAGGAGGGAGCAGGACCAGGTTGGAAGCACGGGCTGAGGGCAGAGTGAACGGCCCCTCGAGGTGGTGAGGGCAGGAAGGGAGGCCGCTGCAGGCTGTGGGGCACCAAGGCTGAGGACAGCTGGTGCTGGCCGAGGTCCCTGGTCCCCAGCGCCCGCAGAGGAGGCGAGGCCTTGGTGTCCTTTCAGATGACTTCCGGCGCACAGTGGCCTCCAGCATCCTCAAGTGGGTGGTCAGCCACCAGAACTACAGCAGAGGCAAACCCAGCATCAAGGGGGAGGCCTGCGAGCCGGGCTCTGGCAACAAGAAAGGTGTGTGGGGGGCCTGAGGCTACACCGTGCAGGGAGGGCTGTGCCAGGAGGATCAGTGGGGCCATGTGTCCAGGGCGGTGTTGTCCCCTGCCCCACAGAAGAGGGTGACAGGGAATGGCTTTCCTGCGTGGTGTAGGGCCACGTGGCATTAGGCCTACAAAACCCAAATAAGTATTTTGTTGTTCACTTTCTCAGAGCATTTTTAGGTTCACAGTCCAGTTGAGCAGAAGGTACAGGGATTTCCCATACACGCCCTGCCCCCCCAACCTCCTCTACTATCACCACCCCCACCGGTGGTGCGTTTGTTAGGATCAGTGAACCTACGTTGACACGTCACTGTCACGCAGACCACAGCTGGCCTTGAGGTTCACTCTTGTGCGGGGCGTTGTGTGGGTTTGGAGAACCGTGTAAGGGACGGACCCACCTTTATGGCGTCCCACAGAGTCACTTCACTGCCCTCCACACCCTGTGCTCTCCCCTGTTCCTCTCTCCTCCCCAGCTCCTGGCCCCCCGGCCCTTTTCCTGTCTCCGTAGTTCTGCCTTTTCCAGAATGTCCTCCGGTTGGAATCGTACAAATGTAGCCTTTGCTGATTGGCTTCCTTCGCTCAGGGTTATGCATTCAAGGTTCCTCCAAACTTCACGGTTTGGTAGCTCATTGTCTGGAGGGTCCATTGTCTGGCTTGTTTATTCATTCACCTACTGAAGGACGTCTTGGTCGGGCAATTATGAGTAAAGCTGCTGTAAACATCTGTATACAGGTTTTTGTATAGGTGTAAATTTTCAACTCATTTGGGTAAACACCAAAGAGCATGATTGCTGGATACCGTGGTAAGAGTATGTTTTGGTAAGAAACAACCAAGCTGCCTTCCACAGCGGCTGTGTCATTCTGCCTTCCCACTGTCGGCGAGCACCGCTCCTCACCCCCCCCCCGTGTTTGGTGGCGGTGGTGCTCTGGATTTTGGCCGTTCTGACAGATGTGCAGTGGCACCTTATTGTTTTCATTGGCAGTTCCCTGGTGACGTATGATGTTGAGCATCTCTTAATATACTTCTTTGCCATCTGTAAATATATTCTTTGGTGAGAAATCTGTTCAGCTTCCCTGCTGTTTTAAATTTTTTTATTGTTGAGGTTTAAGAGGGAGTGTGTGTGTGTGTATTTTGGATAACAGATGTGTCTGTGGCAAATATTTTCTCCAAGTCTGTGGCTGTCTTCTCATCTTCTTGACTGTCTTTCATGGAGCAGAAGTTTTTAACTTTAATGAAGTCCAGCTTACCAAGTATTTCTTTCATGGACCATGCCTTTGGGGTTGTATCTAAAAAGTTATCACCGCACCCAGGTTCATCTTGGTGGTCTCCTGTGCTATCTTCTAGGAGTTTTATATTTTTGTGTTTCACACTTGGGTATATGATCCATTTTGAATTAATTTCTAGGAAGGACGTAAGATCTGTGTCTAGATTCTTTTTTTTTTTTTTTGCACCCGTTCCAGCATCACTTGTTGAAAAGACCACTTTTTCCCATTATATTGTCTTTGCTCCTTTGTCAAGGATCAGTTGATCATATTTTTGTAGGTTTATTTCTGGGCTCTTTATTCTGTTCCAGTGATCTATTATTTTATGAATACCACACTCTCTTGATTACAGTAGATTTGTGGTAAGACTTGAAGTTGAATAGTGTCAATTCTCCAATTTGTTCTTCTCCTTCAATATTGGGTTGGCTATTCTGGATATTTTTACTCTTCATATAAACTTTAGAATCAGTTTGTCAATATCCATAAAATGCCTTGCTGGGATTGTATTGAATTTATAGATTGAGTAGGGAAGAACTGACATCTTGACAATGAAAACTATTCATGAACATAGAATATCTCACCATTAATGTAGTCCTCCTTTGATCTCAGTTATCATATTTTTGTAGTTTTCTTCATATAGACTTTGTTAGATTTATTTATTTATATATTTAATTTGGGGGCTGCTAATGTAAATGGTATTGTGTTTTAAATTTCAAATTCCAATGATTCATTTCTGGTGTGTAGGAAAGTGATTGACTATAATCATTTATTAGTTCCACGAGGATTTTTTTGTCAATTCTTTCAGATTTTATACACAGATAATCATGTCATCTGTGAATAAAGACAGTTTTATTTCTTCCTTCCCAATCTGTATGCCTTTTATATTATTTTCTTGCCTTATTGCATTGGCTAGGATTTCCAGTACAATGTTGGAAAAAAAAACTGGTGAGAGGGAGGAGGTCCTGCCTTCCTCTTGATTTTAGAGTGTAAGGTTCTAGTTTCTCATCATTAAATATAGTGTTAGCTATAGGGTTTTTTTTGTATATATTCTCCTTTTCTATTTTTTATTTTTTTAAGATTTTATTTATTTGAGAGAGAATGAGAGATAGAGAGCACGAGAGGGAAGAGGGTCAGAGGGAGAAGCAGACTCCCCGCTGAGCAGGGAGCCCGACGTGGGACTCGATCCCAGGACTCCAGGATCATGACCTGAGCTGAAGGCAGTCGCCCAACCAACTGAGCCACCCAGGCGCCCTATTCTCCTTTTTTTTTTTTTTTTAAAGATTTTACTTATTTATTTTAGAGAGAGAGAAGGGGGAGGAGCAAAGGGAGAGAGAAAGGGAGATAATCTTTAGCAGAATCCACACTGAGCGTGGAGCCTGAGGGCTTTAATTTTGGGGGGCTTTAATTTTTAAACAACTAAAAAATTTTCTTGAGATCATGGCCTGAGCCAAAACCAAGAGTTGGACATTCAACTGACTGAGTCACCCGGGTGCCCCGTATATATTCTTTATCAAGCTGAAGAAGTTCCTCTCTATTCCTAGCTTGCCGAGATCTTTTATCATGAATGAGAGTTTAATTTTGTCAAATGCTTTTTCTGCATCTATTGATATGATCATGAATTTTTCTTCTTTAGCCTATGATTGTAACAGATTAAATTAATTGATTTTCTAATGTCAAACCAGTTTTGATATCTGACATAAATCCCATTTGATATGGTATATGATTCTTTGTATACATTATTGAATTTGTCTTGCTACTATTTTGGTGAGGATTTTTGCATCTATGTTCATGAATGATTTTGGTCTATAGTTTTCTTTTCTCGTGTCTTTCTCTGGTTTTGGTATTAGGGAAATGCTAACCTCAAATAATGAGGTAGAAAGTATGCTCTCTGTTTCTATCCACTGAGATTGAATAGAATTGGTATAATTTCCTCCTTAAATGTTTGGCAGAATTCACCAGTGAACCCATTTGAACCTGGTGCTTTCTGTTTTAGAAGGTTATTAGTTATTGATTCAACATTTTTAATAGATACACGCCTATTCAGATTGCCCATTTCTTTTTGTATGAGTTTTGGCAGGTTGTGTCTTTCAATAAATTGGTCTGTTTCACCTAGATTATCAAATTTGTGTGCATAGAGTTCATAGTATTCCTTTATTATCTTTTTATGTCCATGAGATCTATAATGATGTCTCTTCTTTCTTTTATGATATTAGCAATTTACATCCTCTAAACTTTCTTTTTAGTTAGCCTGGCTAAAGGTTTATTAATTTCATTGATCTTTTCAAAGAACCAGCTTATTTTCTCTATTATTTCTTGTTTTCAATTTATTGATTTCTGCTCTAATTATTGTTTATTTTCCTCTGCTTATTTTGGATTTGATTCTTTCTTCCTTTTTTTAGTTTCCTCAGGAGGAAGCTTAGATAATTGATCTTAGATCTTTCTTCTTTTCTAATGTATGCATTCACTGAAAGCTGTACATTTCCCTCTACACTGCTTTCATTGCACCATCAAAATTTTTTCATTTTCATTTGGTTCAAAATATTAAAAATTTTTTCTTGAGATTTTTTTTTATTTGACCCATGTGTTATTTAGATGTATGTTATTTAATCTCCAAGTATTTGGGAAATTTTCTTTTATTCGTTTCTAGTTTAGTTTTATTTTGGTCTAAGAACAGATATTGTATGATTCCTATTCTTTTAAATTTGCTAACGGGGGGATGGGGAAGGGAGCAAGATGGCAGAGGAGTAGGAGACCTGGATTTCGTCTGGTCTCAGGAATTCAGCTGGATAGGGATCAAACCATTCTGAACAGCTACGAACTCAACAGGAGATCAAAGAAAAGAATAGCAACAACTCTCTGAACCACTTTCTGGAAGGTAGGACGTGCGGAGAAGTGAATCCGAGGCGATATTTGGGAAGATAGACGGCAGGGGAGGGGGCCTCCGTCGGCCACTTCTGGCAAGTGCTAGAGCCACGGAGCACAAAATCGGAACTTTTAGAAGTCGGTTCCGCTGAGGGACGTCACTCCAGTGGCTAAGCGGGGGGTGGAACCCTCGTGGGACAGTGTGGTCTCAGGACCCTCGGGGTCACAGAGAGACCGGGGGTGCCTGAGTGCGGCAGAGCTCCCAGGGATCGGAGCGGGGAAGCCGGCTGCAGAGACGGAGCCAAGGTGCGGGCTCTCAGCTCGGGGTGGCCATAAACTGTGATCCGCGGCCCAGTCGGGCCACTGCTCCTCCAGCGGGGACCCGACAAGCGGCAGATTCAGAGAGACTCCCCTTCCTCCCCCGGGAGGAGCGGCGCGGGAGCGCACCACAGGGATCTGCTGGGTTTGGAGACTCCACGCGGGGTCGGGTGCCAGAGATAGAAACGCTCGGTCACAGGCCGGGTGAACACGGAGTGCGGCCGGAGACCGGGGACACGGGAGTGACTGACTGCTTTTCTCTGGGGGCGCACTGAGGAGCGGGGCCCCGAGTTCTTGGCTCCTCCGGGGCGGAGATTGGGAGCCGCCATTTTCACTCTCGTCCTCCAAACCTGTACGGAAAGCTTGCAGGGAACAAAAGCTCCTGAGAGCAAACCCGAGCAGCTTGCTTAGCCCGGACCGACAAGGGCGGGGCAATTCCGCCTCCAGCAAAGACATTTGGGAACCATGGCAACAGGCCCCTCCCCCAGATGATAAGCAGGAGCAGCCAGCAAGCCAAGACCAAGTTTACCGA